CGACACTCGCTGACTCCGGCTGTCAGCCTGATTGTGGGTACAGCAGGTTAAATCCTGAGGAACTGTTCACGGGCTACTCAAATAACTTTTTCTCCTAAAATACTATATTAAATCATTAGCTTTGAAGTGTAACTTACCGTGGATGACAGCAGTAGCAATAGAAGTATCTGCAGCATGTTTAGCTGGAAAAACTGAGACTGGACCAACAAAGATGCACACACACACACACACAGTGCTCTTCTGTTTTCTCTAATAAACTCACTGACAACAAACACACAGCCTGCTGGCCTGTTTCCTGTCACTGATGGGTTGCGTCACAGACTTAAAAGCAATTGGATGACACAACTAAAAGCATCTAGCTGGACTTCTGTAGGACCCCTCCCACTTCCTTCATGTATTGTTAATTTATCAGCTCTCATTTCCAAATGTTTTCATTCCTTCCTAACAGGATTATTTCCTACTTTATTAATTTTTTTAATTATTATAGATTTTTGTATTTTTTTTTTTACTAAAACATGACCAAAACAATGAATCAACAAAATCTTAATATCGTAATACAACTACAGAACTGCGTATCTATGTAATATAAGTACTAAATACTGCTGGCAGATGTTATACATTTACTTTAACGTTAAAATGTTAAAACCTGTAGCCAATGGAAACGACGCTTTTAGCATATTGTAACAAATTAATCTGATTTTTGCAAGGGTGAACTTAGATAAAAGTGATACACTCTTAGAAACTAAATAACAAGAGACACTTTTTAAATTCTATCACCTTTTTTATGTTAAACTATTTTTATCAGTTCTGAATAAAAAAGTAAAAAATTAAGCCCTTCTAATCTCTGTTACATACCCTAAAAGGTAGGTATTTACATTGACATATTAATATGTAATGAAAAGTAGCAACTTCTAAACATGTACTTGCTTAGCAACGAAACCTTATACGTTATCATAAATCATCATTGGAAACTTGGAGACTGTTAAAAGAGCACAATAAATGATTTACTGTAAGATGTTGCATGCATAACACAAACCACAGAATTTTAAAAAAAATCTAATTATTATTGCGGTCTGACTCAAAGTGGACACTTTCAGTTCCTGAAACTTTACCATTACAGGATCTACAACTAAGATTCAGCATGTATGACTCTCTAAATCTTCAAAATAGATGCACGTATTAGTCACTGTCTGCCTTTATGTGCACTGTTAAAAAAAACATCTTAAAAAAATCGGTAATATTCCGGCAGCTGGGGCGACAAAATACTACCGTAAAATAACAGAAAATAACTTCCTCATAAAAATATGCTTATTTCCAGTAATGACAATACAGTTTGTTGCGCTAATTTTACATAGGGATCTTGCCTTTCCAAGTGCTTTTAGACATTAAATTAGGAACATTTTGACGTGATTAAACAATGAAATTATCTATAACTAGAAAAAAAAAACAAATCTTAAAAAAACAGCAATATTCCGGCAGCTGGTGCACCAAAATACTACCAGAAAATAACAGAAAATAACTTTCTGAAGAAATTACCTATAAACAAGGTCAATGAATGTGGCAATATGAATCATAATACGTAAATGTACAGAAATATACAGTTAACAGTTGGTTTAAATAATAATGGATATGATGCCCTGGGACAGACTGACAGGGGCGAGGCTGCCATATTGCACCATCGGCCCCTCTGGCCATCACCAGTAGGCGGTAGGTGAAGAGTCTTGACACAATACCGAGAGTGTCCGAGCTGGGGCTCAAACCGGCAACCTTCTGACCACAAGGCAAACTGCCAACTCTTGAGCCACAATTGCCCTAAATAGCAATGATAATAATACTTATGTGACGTAACACAAGCTTATAGGAATCATGTTATATACTTTTCCATAGCATTACATTTGAATTCAATGATTCAATCTTTCAAATAACGGACAGATATTTGTGAAATCATGATACATTTGTGAATGTATTTTAACAATCTAAATATACATATGTACAGACAGATACATTTAATAATCATGAAAATCATGTTTTATTACATTACAGTGATTTAACGTTAATTTACATTTGAAATGCGAAATCACAGTCTATTTACGTAACTTTAATGATATTCTACAAGAACAGAACAAAACTGTAAAATGCACAGTAAAATACTTTTATATTAGGATATTCCTACAGTACACCGATACCCGCGACCTTGTGGTTGCTAGTTCACATTCATTGGCCGATGCTTAGTGTCATGTTATTATGTGTCCCAACATCCAATGGCATGTCACATTGTTTTCATGGCCACACCCTCACCCCAGGTGCAGTGGCCTATTTCTGTTCAGGAATGTTGTGAATACTTTGAGATTCATATTAATTGCAATTCCTACCTCTACATTAGTGATGCGCGAATCATGAACGAATCGTTCAATACTCGAGAATCACTTTACTGACTAATGAATCATGATTCACAAGCCCAACTGACTCACTGACTCATCCCTGTTGCTGTTAGCAGCAATGTATCTAGGTTATAATTAAAGTTGTGGAGAAAAACACAACATCCAGTATCATAACAAAAAAATTTCTGCTCTGAACTGGAAGAAAAAACCCTGAGTAGAAGCTCACATCAAGAAAAAAGCTCCTCGGTTCACAGTAGCATCGCTCTGCTAACATGCTAACAGCACATTTGAGCTACTCACCCCTCCCTTCCTGTGCTGAATCGTAAGCGAATCACTCAGGATTCGCTCACCCCTCCCTCCTGTGCTGAATCATAGAGCGAACGAATCACTCAGGACTCACTAACCCCCTCCTTCCTGTGCAGAATCGTAAGCCTATGTGAATCACTCAGGACTCACTAACCCCCTACCTCCTGTGCTGAATCATAGAGCGAACGAATCACTCAGGACTTACTAACCCCTTCCCTCCTGTGCTGAATCATAGAGCGAACGATTCACTCACTCATTAACCCCCTCCCTCCTGTGCTGAATCGTAAGCAAATCACTCAGGACTCACTCACCTCCTCCCTCCTGGCTCACAGCTTCTTCTTCCTCTTGGTTGGCAACCAATGTTAAGGCGCATTACCTCCCCCTGGCTCACAGCTCAGTGAACATTTAGATGAGAAAATATATATTTAACACATTTAAGGAAATACTAATAAAATAAAAAATAAAAATATATTAAAATAAAATAAAAATAAATAAATGTTTATTAAGCAATTTTGATAGGAAATTGCTTAATTTTAGAAATGTTTTTGCTCTTTTTTGCTCTATAAAATAGTCGTTTTCTTTTAGAATCATTCATCTTCACATTTTTTGCACTCTCTGGTCGACTGACTCAGTGAATCAAATGACTCCAAAAAAGCCGATTCACTTTGGTGAGTGACTCATTAAAACTCAATTCAGTAAAAAGAATCAAATTTACCATCACTACTCTACATTTATTTTTTAAAATATATAATTAGCACAGCGTGGCCGTGCAATGTTTTATATGTTTTTTTTAGTTTTTATTCCTATTAATTATATTTTCACTTGTTACCTCTGAATTATTGAAATTACTCTTTTAATTATTGATTATTCTCATTAATTTTCAATCATTTTATATATTTTTCCATAGTATTACATTTGAATTTAACAGATCATTCTCTCACATAACAGACAAATATTTGGGAAATTATGATACATTTCTGAATGTATTTTTACAATTGAAATATGCATATGTACAAAAAATATATTTAAAAAACAAGTAAATTGTGTTTTACTATATTTTCAGTACACTGCTACATTCTTGTCTGAAAAGATCTTAAAGGTTTATTTTGTCACGCAGAAAGTAGTAATAAGAGTAATATTAAAACTAAGGAGCTGCCACGATTGTTGGAAACTGGAATTGGCGGGGCCGCACTATGAGTTCTGGGATAGGTTGGGCCACGAAGGATACACCCGAAATGAAGGACACATCTGTCGGCCGCATTTGTAGTATCCTTCGAATTGGGACAGCCTTTGTCCCCTGGCTGTGCCTTAATCGGTCTACAAATGCAGCAGGATGCAGCCTAGGAATTGAGACACGGCGATAGCGTCGGTATGTTACGTTTTGGGAAGAGAATGTGTTGCTTTAAAATCTTTCAGTTTTTCTCCAGTTGACTCATTTCTGTTTGCTGGTTTTTGTCAATAATTATAAAAGACAACATATGAGAATGGAGACCTCAAACGTTTACCAGATATGTTTATCGATATTTCATATATAAAAAAGGAAAAACATGATACATTTTTTCAAAACTATACAAATTGTTTTCCTCACATCCTAAATGTTATTGGGTGGTGAGTTAATCAACCCATAAAAATACATTACAATTCAAATCAGTTAAATTAAACTGAACTGAGCAAGCGTACAGGATATCACCAATTCCAGTTGTGTAGCACGAGTAACGATAACAACTGCACAATTTGAACACTTAACAGGCACAAAAACATAGCATGGATAGCAACCTCTAGAGTTAAAAATTAATTGTGAATGGTATAATTGGACATGACATGATTTTTCTTTCTGTGGTATTTTTTGCACTCATGTAGAATTTTCACTTCCTGTTCCTGAAACCTGTTACTACATCTTCCATTGAGAGAAGCTGCATATGAAATGTCCTTAAAATCCTCAAAAAAAGGTGCATGAATCAGTTGTTTGGATTATCTTTGTATATTCCACGTATTCCAAGTTTTATTATCAGATGCACAGGAATGTGCTTATTCAGTTAAGGTGTAATAGTTTTCTGCATTTTTTTATTGTTGCTTTTATTCCACTGTGTTGCAGTATCTGTAGTAACAGTGTGTTTTTCTTTTTTCCTCTTTGTGGCTATTGTTTCTTGTTTAAGTTGTTCTCTTTCTCTCTTTGTGTCGTGCTTTCTCTCGCTTTCGTTCTGTGTCTGTGATTGTCAACATTTTTTATTTCTTCTCTAGATGTTCGCACGATTCCTCACAAGTTTGATGTTGCTGCTTCAGTCAGACACAAAATTTTCTCTCTGGTCCAACATGAGGCTGTATGTGATCATTCCACTGTGTGCTCTGCTCACCGTCACCAAGCAGGTAAGAAACACTGAAGCCTCAGGTTATATAGAAATCTTTTTAAAACTTTAGTACAATTCATAATACACCACCCTTACATTTTCAGGAGCATACAGAGTGTACATGCGAGCTGAATAACTCAGAGAGAATATTCCCCCATGAAAAACTCAGAAAAGTTGAAAGCAGTACATCAGACTGCAAAAGCAACATCATCCCACAGAAGGTAAGTTACCCTGCGACTCATAGTGTCATACTGTTTGTTTGTTTAACCACTGCTGTCTCTGCAGTCTGTGGAGCTGAAGAGTCTACTGCAGGGGTTGGAGCAACGTCTTACCCAGCTGAGCAAAGATGTGCTGATCCTGGAAAAAGAGGATGACAGAGGGCTGTATGGCATTCTCAGCCTGTATCTTATAGAGAATGAAATGAATGAGATCAAGCAGCTGATTGACAAGCTCAACAGCACCACCCAGGAACACCAGATCCTCACTGCTAGCGCCACTCGCCAGGTACATTCACAACCACATGCTGCAAAACGCTGACATCACCCTGAAGTGTACATCTACTATTGTGTTTTCACTATCCTATATTATAGATGGTGTTAACAGAACAGTGACATTTAATTCTGTTAAACATATTCTGTATATTCATTGTTTTGAGTGCCCTTTTGTTGATTTGTGGAGTATCAAGCCATGTTAAGAAATACATTTTTCTCTGTTTGGCTCCACATTTGAATGTCTTCTTTCTCTCAGCTGGAGATCATGAAAACAGAAATGAAAGCGCTGGAGAAGTTCGACACCATGCAGGTGATAAAGGGACGACAAACCATCGAGGTTCTGAGGACAGACCTGGACAGTTGCAAAAAGGAAGTGAAGGCACTCACCCAGCTTCCACAGCTTCCACAGGGTGAGTTATGCCTCACTTGCGATTGTTAAGAGGTTGAAACCTCTATAGGACTAGTATGGCTCACAGTTAATACACACTTTAATTTTCCTTCAGGTACTTGTCCTCGCAGCCGGCTTGTTAGTGTTACCGGGCCAGTGTTCTACACAGAAGGAGAGTATCCTGGCTTGTATTCTTATGGAGCCTGGGGCTGTGATCCCAAACCAGAGAAAGGGAAAGAAAACTGGTATTGGTTGGTGATGATGACTTCCAACAACAGATACTCCAACTACATTCGTTTTTACTCCAGCCTGAACTCTCTCATTAGGGGGGTGAGTGCCCCAGGTAAGGAACTGCTGTGTAGTGTCAAACGTGCCAGTCGTCCCTTTGAAGTGGCCGATGACAGGATCGAATTCCTTTGAGATTTTTTAAAGACAATGAAGACCTGTTTTCCTTTAACTTGTGTTACTGAAAATAAATGAGAATGACAGTGACTGCAGAGCTTCACAAATGTTGAAGTCCGGTGATACAGATCATTAGAAAGTTAACATGCACTGAAATTTTACAACAACAACAACAAAAAAAAACTGACTAAAGTAGCATCGGGTGCAGATTCTAGCAAATATTACGTTTAAATAAACTGTGAATATTCTTTGAAATAAATTGTAAAATGTTTGCAAGAAAGAAATAACTTCACCTGCACTGGAAGACTTCCTAGGAGATATTCTAGTAAATAGTTCTCATAAGAGAATAATATAAGTCATTACCTGATAAAGTTCTATTAAAGAATGTTATGTATTGATGCTTTACTAACTGTGCATATTTTAATGTGTCATACTGTGTAGATCTAAATTGCTTATTCGTTCTCTAAAAACACAACCAATGATACTTAAATTTGAGTTTCCCCATCACACTGCTTCTTCTCCTTTCACTTCTTTTTCTGCCAGGAAATGTCTATATCCACACCTCTAACCCAACTACCAACACCATCCAGGGTCCAAATAATGTTCTGTATGGAGGGGCTTTGTATTACAACTGTTACAACCGAGATGCTGTTTGTCATTTCAAGCTCACCACCAAACACGTTACTACCTTAGAACTACACCAAGGCACTAGGTTTTTTTCCACAACTTTTTTTTGAGCTCATGAATATGAGACATAACTATGATGGAAACATTCATTTATGAATAAGAGTTGCTTTTTAAGTGTAAAACATTCACTGTTGTCCTCTGTTAACCAGATATAACTCAAAGGCTAACTTCTGCCACCTTGAGGAGTGTTACCCATACACTGATCTGGATCTTGCAACAGATGAATCTGGTGTCTGGGTGGTCTTCACCACCTCCCTGGACTTTGGCAACATGATCCTGTCCAAGGTGGAGGAGGGTGAACCACCTGCACTTGGAAAGACCTGGCAAACGTCAGTGTACAAGCAGGCAGTGACCAACACCTTCATGGCCTGCGGTGTTCTCTACGCCACACGTTACGTCAACCAAGAGCTCGAGGAGATCTTTTACTCATTCAATACCGTGACGGGGAAGGAGCGGTTCAACCTAGGCATCTTCATCAGCAAGATTTCTCCCAACATTCAAGCCCTGAACTACAGCCCTGTGGACCAGACACTACATGTCTACTCTGACTCCAACATGGTTTACTATAAAGTGATTTTTGAGTAAATTCATAAAAGATTCGATTCAAATAACTGCACCAGTAAAATAAATATTTCTGAAGGTCAGAAAAAAGGGCTGAAAAACCTTCATATATGGGGTAACTTTTAAGGTTAATTTTCATAGTAATGGTCAGTGTTTAATAATTTGCTAATTTTATTAGTTAGTTTGCTAATTTTTTTGTTTTTATCTTTTACTGGCTTAAGAGATTTTTTATTGACATCTTTAACTGACTTTATATAAAAGTAAAAAAAAAATTCTAATGAGAGTCAATATTTTTGTGTTTGAGGTGACAAATACTTTTGTGTTTTTGCCCCCTAACATTCTAATGAATTACATTAAACCATTTGCTGAAATGCAATATTGCCAAATTTATCTAAGCTGTATTTGATTTAAACCAGGGGTCTCGTAACCCCAGGCTTTGAGGGCCGGTGTCCTGCAGGTTGTAGATCTCACCGTGGATCAACACACCTGAAATAGTTCATTACCAGGCCTCTGGAGAACTTCAAGACATGCTGAGGAGGTAATTTAGCCATTTAAATCAGCTTTGTTGGATCAAGGACACATCTAAAATCTGAGTTGTGAAGTCCGAGACCCCTGCTTTAAACTACTTATTTTGTTACAGCTGTTACAAAATGAATAACTGATCCTTTACCCTCTAAAGTCTAAATCATGTTTGGCGCTGACCACAACAATGGCCCCAAGGCCTAAGAAAAGAGCACTTCTTTGGAAAACATGTTATGAGCTGTGCAGTAGATGTTAGTTTAAATGACCATTTGTGTTGTCCTCTAATTGCCAAGACCTAAGTGAACTACTTTTGAACCAGAACACAAATTAAATCTTCTAATGCACATCTGTACAGCAAATTAATCAAGTTTAACATTTCCAATTCAAAATGAAAATATGAACAAAGCATATTGATTATTAAGTCTAAGCATAACTAAGTTTAAGCCCATTCTTTTCTTTAGTGCTTATATTCCACTAAAGTATATCAGTGACCAACTCAGACTTCATTTGAAAATCTAAAAGAAACCTTTTAATTTCTAAAAATGTGTTTGCAATACTTTAAAACATAATCAAACTCTGTGCTAAAGGTATTACCGGAAACTTGGTGTATGTAAAGCAGTTAAAGAGCTTAGAACACAATAAATTCAACCATTGCTAAGACATTGCATGCATAACACAAACCACAATATAAAAATAAAAAATTATTATTGCAGTCTGAGTGCAAAGTGGGCACTTTCTGTTCCTAAAACTTCACTGTTACAGGATCTACAACAAAAATTCTGCATGTAAATGCAGAATTTACATGCAGAAGGGTACATATTAGTCACCGTCTGCGTTTATGCAGGGTCTTATTGCATCATCCAGCCACAGCACTGAGTTATGAATGCTTATTGACTAGCAGACTGTAATAGTGTTAACAGAGTGTTATTACAACAGGTTTAGACTGCTGCCTGTACACAAAACTTTATCTCTGGTGTTTATTCAATAAATAAAGGTTTAAGAGATGTCTGTATCAAAACAGACAATTATCTTTGTGTTGTCAGATAGACTGTACTTGGTTCTTGACATCCACTGCCTAACATTACTGTTGCTATGTTTGCTTAACCTTGTGTTTATCTGATGTCTTTAATATGGTGGCAAAAAATAGATGGACTGCTTCCAGTTGGAGACCTCAGTCTTGTATAAGTGACAATTTCAAATGGCCGTGAAATACCCATCTTGGAATCTGGATTCATGTTCTTTGTCCACTCTTGTTTGATTCATTTCATTGTGGTTTTCCACCTGTTGTCTTTGTGGTCTCTAGTTTTTGTCAGAGAAGTCGGGAGCTGTGTCTAGCACCTGAGAGCTGTCTTTATCATACTCCACAGAACAAAACTGTGGTATGAACACATTTTTAATTTCTTTAGTAAATTCATGACAGCTTCCTTTGATACATTTTTTAGGGAAGGTCCAAATCACATATGTTACATCATAAATTGTCTACAGCATATTGTGAAAAAGTCCTGGTGTTAAACTGACCTGCCTGCAGTTCGTAATATTATTCAACACGTTCTCATCTCAACACGTAACATACCACAATTTGTCATAGTCGTCGGCATGAGAGCAGGTTGAATCTATAAATGTGTTTTATGTGTGACATGAAGCTCAAATCTGTTCACTTTCAGATCCTGAATCACTTTGGAAAACACTATGTGTATGGTTAAGGTTAGGGTTAGGGCTGGAATGGATGGCTGGAGCCTATGCTTCAAGTGTGTCTTACCACTGTGTCTTAAGTGGCTTTCTGTTCAGAGCGTTTCATAAGGACAGAGGGGTACCTTTTACGTTACTATGAGACGCTTAGGGGAGTGACAAATGTTATGTGTTGGGAAAATTAAATAGATAAAAATAATAAAATAATTTACATTTCTTGAATTTCTTGGACAAATATGTATTGCTAATCCAAGTCTGGTATTGTATGAGGCATAAATAAATTATGCATTATTTTAGCACAGACTGCTCACGTGATACGGTTAAAAGAGCTTAGCGTGCACCAAAACGAGGTAGTGGCTAACACACTGCACGAATAATAAAGACCAGAACGAAATATAAAATTCAAATGGTGCAATTGGACACATTGTGATTTTTAGTCTCTGGCTATTTTACGACTTGTCTCATTTTCAAGTCACCGCAGGTTTAGCTGTGACTCATATACATTATAAAACAAAAAATGTTCCCAGCATAAACTTTACTGTATGTAGCAAATACAGTAAAATTATAGTAAGTAAATATATTGTATAAAGTTTATTTTGTATTATGTTTTTTGTTGTGTGTTCTAATAGTGTTTAAGAGTGCATTTGAGCAAACTGTTGCAAAGACTCAGATTGCACTGACAGTTTTAAATCTGCAAAGAAACTTGTTGATGCAGTGGGTTTGCTAAAATATGTGCATGTCAGTAAACACAGAAAAATCATATCTTGAAGAATGCAGTGTTGTGTTTCGTAAGTCATTACTGCCATTGGCTCTGAGAATCCATATTGATTAAATTCGTAGATGATTAAATGTCCTGTGCTGAACAGCAGTGAAAAGGGGAAAACAACTTCAAAAAGTTTTTGTAATTAACAAAAAATGTCATGAAAAACAGTAACAAATGTCACTGAGATGCATGATGCATGAAATACAAACACACCCACATCCACTTCCTCACATACGGAGGTTAGCGGGAATGTTCACAAGCTGCTGCAGCAGTTTACAGATGGTTTTGTTCAGCTCTGCTCTCTGTGATTCACCATGAAGCTGTACGTGATCATTTCACTGTGGGCTCTGCTCACATTCACCCATCAGGTAAGAAATACTGAAGACTTCCTTTAAATGATAAAATATCCATTTTGAATGAAGTGACAAATACCAAATACCACTAAATGCTGCTGCTTATTTCACTTGAAAATACATTTAAATTTCAGGCTCCTCCACGAGAAAAGTGTGCATGCGAGCTGAATAACTCAGAGAAGGCATTCCCTCATGAAAAACTCAGGATAGTTGAAACCAACGTATCAAACTGCAACAGCAACATCACCCCACGGAAGGTAACTAGTCTTTTAAAGCTCTCATGCTGTGTGTCTCCATTCCTGGTTAATCACTGCTGCCTCTGCAGACTGTGGAGCTGGAGAGTCTGCTGCTGGGGTTGGAGCGTCGTCTTTCCCAGCTGAACAAAGATGTGCTGATCCTGGAGGAGGAGGATGACGGAGAGCTGTATGGAGTTCTCAGCTTGTATGTTATAGAGAATGAAATGACTGAGATCAAGCAGCTGATTGACAAGCTCAACAGCACCACCCAGCAACACCAGATCCTCACTGCTAACGCCACTGAACAGGTAGATTCACAACCACATGCTGCAAAACACTGACATCACTCTAAAGAGCATATTTACTATTGTTTTTACACTGTCTTGTAAAATCATCATCACAGTTATGTTAGGTTATGTTATGTTATGTTATGGAAACAAAAAGTCTTGAAATTAGGTCAAAAGAGCATTTTGAAAAGTATTTGATATTGATAAGTGTGTTGTATTCATTTTTCTATTTCGCTTGATCTTTTAACATCTGCTGTCTCCAAGCTGGATAACCTGAAAGCAGAGATGCAAGAGCTGGAGAGGTTTGACACCATGCAGGTGATAAAGGGACAGCAAGTCAACTCTGCTCTGAAGGCAGATCTATTCAAGTGCAACAAAAAATGAACACTACCGTCACACCAACCGAGCCCCCACAGGGTGAGTCTAACAACCAGGTGGGGTTGGGGGTTGGATGGCTGCTACTGAGGCCCTGAAGGGGTTAATAAACCGTTTTACAGAAGACCAAACATGAACTAAACTGAGCTCAATACAATGAAACTAAAAACCATCAAACAAAGACGAGTTATGAAGGCATTACCAAACTATTTGAAGGCCATTATTGTATAATGTGAAGTATTATTGGCATTTGGTCAACATTTGCCTTATTTACCAAAAACGTATTAAGTACTTTCCAGGATCCTTACTTGTCAGAATCTATTATAAATGTAAATGTGTTAATAATGTCTGTTTAAACCTTTTCCAGTGATTATCTTGATGTTGGCTTGAAAATAAATATCTCCCTCTACTGTTACTGCAGCTTATTGCAACTTCTGCATGTGTGTACATTTCACATTTTGGAGAGGCAAAGCATGAAATGAACCGGCGTGTCTACTCCATGCTTCGTTGTGATATCGGGTTGCCTCGGTATACAAAGTATTCTAGAGACAAGTAGGAGGCCATTTGTCTGACAGCTGGTTGTACTATGCACTGCATCCATAAAAGTAGCAGCAGAAAGAACAACTGTTACACACTTCTCCCCTCAGGTACCTGTCCACGCAGCCGGCTTCTTAATGTCACTGGACCAAGGGTCTACACAGCAGGAGAATATCCTGGCTCGTACGCTTACGGAGCCTGGGGTCGTGATCCCAGACCAGAGGAAGGCAAAGAAAGCTGGTACTGGCTGGTCATGTTGACTTCCAGTAATATATATGCCCACTATGTTCGTCTTTACAGCAGTCTGAGTTCTCTCATCATTGGAGTGAGCGTCCCAGGTAAGGAACTGCTCTCTTCTTGTGGTTAATTGTCAGAGGTACAATTTATGTAACAAAGCATTTTGGGTTTTATTGCAATCACTTTGAAGTGGTTTGTTGATTTTATGTAAAAAAATCATTCACCCTGCAGGTTTACCAGATTTTGTGGTAAAACTTGAAGGAAAGCATAGAGAATATAAAGTTTATTCGGCATATCCACAATACCTAACTATTTGAGGCATTCAGCTCAACAGTTGTGCAGATCTTTACAAAGATTAATGTGCACTTTAATTTGAAAATGAAGACTGAGAGAGACTGATAAGCATTTGGTGGACTAGCAACTACTGTACTTGTTGGCGCAGGATAGTATCTTTCTTTTTCACCAATGAGTGCTGGTCCTGCACACGTGCATAGTCAGCTCTGCCTTGGTTCCTTCTGAGACCTACATTTAGAAAGTCCTTATGAACAATTTTTTGCAGTTCTTTTTTATTAATGACACATTTTTTTACATGCTAGAAATTGTTAAACTATTTTCTCACATTTATTCTTCCATATCGTTTGTCTTCTTCTTTTTCAGGTAACGTCCAGATCCACTCCTCAAACCCAACTACCAACACCATCCAGGGTCCAAATAATGTTCTGTATGGAGGGGCTTTGTACTACAACTGTTACAACCAAGATTATGTTTGTCGATTCAATCTCACCACTAAAAGTGTCACAACCTTACAACTACCAAAAGGCACCAGGTTTGTCTTGGACCTCATTACTGGATGAAATGCTGAATAACTATGACAGAAACTTTCACTGCTATCCTCTGTTAACCAGGTACAACTCAAAAGGTAACTTCTGCCATCTTGAGGAATGCTACCCATACACTGACCTGGACCTGGCAACAGATGAGTCTGGTATCTGGGTGGTCTACACCACCACTCAGGACTTTGGCAATTTGGTTCTCTCCAAGCTAGAGGAGGGTGAAACACCGGTGCTTGGAAAGACCTGGCGCACTTCAATCTACAAGCGGGCAGTGACCAACACCTTCATGGCGTGTGGCGTTCTCTATGCAACACGTTACATTAACAAGGAGGTCGAGGAGATCTTTTACTCATTCAACACCGTGACGGGACAGGAGAAGTTCAACATTGGCATCTTCATGAACAAGATGTCTACCAACATTCAAAGCCTAAATTACAGCCCTGTGGACCAGATGCTGCATGCTTACTGTGACTCCAACATGGTTTCCTACAAGGTGTTGTTTGGGTAAATTGTTATGTTGATGCTTAAAGCCAATTTTCACATAAATGAAATAAACATTAAAACCTCCCTACTTCCTCCTTGTGATATTTGCCATTTAGGTAAATGGCCTGTATTTGTATAGCGCTTTACACTACACACAGTCATCCACCCATTCACACACACATTCACACACAGGTGATGGCAAGCTACTTTGTAGCCACAGCTGCCCTGGGACGCACTGACAGAGGCGAGGCTGCAGGAAACTGGCGCCACCGGGCCCTCTGACCACCACCAGTAGGCAACAGGTGAAATGTCTTGCCCTAGGACACAATGACCGAGACTGTCAGAGCTGGGGATCGAACCAGCAACCTTCCAATTACAAGACAAACTGCCAACTCTTGAGCCATGATCACATTTAGGTGGCTGATTCTACAGGAGATATCTGCGAAGCTTTCTCCGATGCATTTACAGTTAAATTTAATTTGTGCAACATTTTAAATTCTCCTTCAAGCATCATAGAAAATCTTCCACATTTTAAAGCTCACAATTTAAGTGCAGACCACTGAAAGTGGAAGAGCTCTTGCAAAGAAGTTGCAGTCTTTGCATCAACCGTAAACTCCTCTGTACACCAAAGTATTCTGGAGTTAATAGTGAATCCAATTGTCTGACAGCTGGTGCCCAAATGGGGTCATTCAATGGGAAAATGATGCCACACAGCAGCAAATCTACAACTGAATTATTAAAAAAGCAAAGAAAAAATCAGGGTGTTGCAATGGCACAGTCAGTCCAGCTCTCAACCCAGCTGAGATCCCGTGAGAGCTGTGCATAATAAAAACCTCCATAGCTTAATGAACCAAAGCAATGTTGTAAAGGAGACAAAATTCCTCCATAATGATTTCAGAGACCAGTAAAGTCATACAGAAAGATTACTGCAAGTTATTGCAAGATGGTTCAACAGATTATAAAATTATGGGCTTTATATCTTTTTACACACTGCTTCTACATCTGGCTTAGTTTTTCTTAAATAAATTATATGTCATGTGTTGTTGTTCATCTGATGTTGTATTTAAATTATTTCCCGGTAAGGAGCAGATGGTTTTGTTATTATTATTTTCTGACATACGAAACCCTGGAATTGCAATAGGGTTTATGTAGCTACCGCAAGGATTGACGTAAGCACCATGTAGAGTTATTAAACAGGGTTTATTCTGGTCTTGACAACCCGTGAGAACTGCTCACGTTCGAAACAATTAAAAAAAACATCACATCAGAATGCATTCTTGTGCTTTGTTTCAATCAATCAAAAGTCATTAATCACAGAAACAAACATTTCAAATACACAAACCTCATGAGTTGGCATCCAGGAGGGGGTAACTAGCCTTTTATGGCCTTAATATATTCTTTTCTATCTTTTTTCTCACTTATTTCTTGTCTTTATCTAACTCTGAACATTACTTTATTCATATGTGGAGCTAACCGAGAGCTGCAGCGTCCAGACACTAGCTGTGTCCCAAAACGTCGGCTGCATCCTTCGGAGGACCCGGCCTTCGCAGTCTACGTGGGCCAGGTCCTTCGAAGACCGAGAAGGCCGGAAGTGCGAGACTGTGAAATGAAACAGACGTCTCCGAAAACGTCGGCACACTTTTGCAAATATGCGATGTCTTGATAAACTAAGCAGATATTTGTAATTTACACAGCTACTTTCTCACCTGAACATATGCTAAAAGTTTATTTTGTGACCCAGAAAGATTAATAAGACTACTTTTAAAACTCAGTAGCGGCCGCCATTGTTGGCAACAGAAATTTGGCTGGGCCGCGCTATGATTTCTGGGATATGGTGGGCCACGAAGGACACACCCAACCCATCCTTCAAATTTGGGGAAATGAAGGACGCATTTGTCGGCCGCATTTGAAGGAGTCGACGAATTGGGACAGCCTTCGACGCCTGGCTGTGACGTAATCGGCCTTCAAATGCGGCCTCCGAAGGATGCAGCCAACGTTTTGGGACACAGCTACTATGTGCGCTAGCAAAAAGGTCACTGGGTGGAGACCCAAACTGCAAAGAACTGTACCCTCCATAGTTCACCACCAGATGGTACAAAAGAGCAAAATCTGGACATAAAGCTCAACAAACCATCATATGCAAAAGACAATTTACTCTCTCTTTCCCATGACTACATTCGGAGTTGCTGCAGCACCATAACCCTTTCCTATGTCTAATATAAAAAGGAGAAACAATAAGTGAGGCACAAAAGTAGCAACTATGACCTGTGAATACTAGATGACTACTATATGAATGTTCTGTTGAAGTGTGGCTTGAACTTATGAAATGGACACATGAAGTTTTTTTGGTAAGTACATTTTCTTATCCTCTAAGGTCTGTGTCATCACTAGTGACACTAGCACTCACCCACCCTCACAAAACAAAACAAAAAAACGATTAAGTATTATAAAACTGGGATGACGAGGTCAATAAGACGATGTTAAGAAACAAAAGGATGATGCTAAGGGTGCCAGGGGGTCAAGGAGTCACATGGGAGGGTGTGAGTTTGTTATGTGAGTGTGTTCATGGAATCCCAGCATAATGTCACCATCTACAGGTGGCTTCTTAGGAACAATGACACTTGTGCAAATGTCACCTGACAATCGTGTTTCCACAGCAGAAATAGTATAGCAGTAAGAGCACAGAGGCCTTATGTGCATTTCTTAAAATGAAAGGAAGACGCTATAAGGGGAAAGGAAAACAGCATCCAGTGCACCAGCGAAGGGTCTGAGAGTCGGTCCTAATGGTATGGCATGAAAATAGTGCCTAGCCTATAGTGGTCTTGAAAACTCTCTATAAATATGCCTACCGGACCATAGTTGACCCACCACCAAACCGGTCATGCTGAACAATGTTACAGGCAGCATAACATTCTCCACGGCTTCTCCAGACCTTTTCACATTTGTTATATGTGCTCAGGGTGAACATGCAGGGCCCCTATGGTGGACCATGGTGCAGGGCAGTGATCACAGGGCCTACCAGAGGATGTCAGCCTGTTCTAAATGTTCTAAAAATTGTGCTTATTTCAGAGGAATGACCAAATTTCTTATTCAAATATTATGATCTTATAAATGAAGGAGCCCTATCATCTTTACCTAAAGCTCCATATTATCATTATCATTATCAAGTCTATCTTTTCACGAGTCTCAGGTCTAAATAAGGTTGCTTTTTTTTGTTTGTTTTATACTGCACCTTGATTCAGATCATTTATGCCAATTTTCTACTGACTGTCTACACAACTTAAGGTTTTGAAGAGCACATACATGAGACATCTGCCCGTTTGCCATCTCCAATCATACATAGTGGTAGTTGAAAAGAAGCAGAAAACAACAGTTGAGGTGTATATAGCAATCCCACAGGACAACAACATGAGAGAAAAAAAGGAGCATGGGAAAAATGAGAATTACGAGAGGCTGAAGGAACAACAGGAACAGATGTGAAAGGTAAAGTCCAAAATGGTCCCATTGGTAGTAGGAACATTATGAGCTGTAACTCTTAAACTAGAAGAATGGCTCTACAGCACTGTAGGTCTCTGTCCAGAGTGCACTCCTAGGAACAACTAAGATAATGTGCAGAACCCTCAAAATCCCAGGAATCTGTTCGAGGACCGAAGCTTGAGGAACACAGACACAGAGAATAATAACAGAGAGTGAACAAAGCATTATGCAGACGAACAAGACTTTGATCTGTTTATCACCCTTTAAGTTGTTGCTGGAACCAAGCTTTTTTTGAAGTTTGTTGTTAATGATCAAAGAAGAAAGCAAAACTCACTATTCAAATGATGCAAGCTGTCAAGTAAAATCAATATATATGTGATTGTGTCACAAATAACAACAAAAACATTTTTTTGTGTGAAATAAGGCCAGCAAAAGATCAATCTAAGTTTATTGTTACCAAAGACTTTATTATGATCTCAGCTGATGTTTCCATTCAGTGTTACTAAAGTACATTATGTTAGAAGAACAATCTTAATAGTCTATATGATATAACTTTAGCATTTGCATCATAAATCATTGCTTTTTTGTTGCTGTATCATATTTCATTAACTGTTTGATCAGAAGATCAGAAGTGGGCCTGGTAGGCCAGCAAGTATCCATCGTTGTACATGTAGATCTGCTTGTTGGTGGGATTGTAGCTCAGACTAGCCACTCCTTTAGCTACCTTCTCCAGTCGTTTTGCTAGTGAGTTGTCTTCTTTGCCTGTGGCTGTGTCAAAGGCGTAGAACACCTCCTCCCGGTACTCATTAACATAACGAGTCGCGTACATCACACCGCACACCATGAAGGCGTTGCTCACTGCCTTCTTGAACAGCCTTGTTTCCCACGTCTGTGTCACGTTGAGAGTCTTGGTCTCACCATCCCAAACTAACCGGCTGATCACAAGGTTTCCATGGTTACCCAGAGTGGCATAGAGAGCCCACAGTCCTGTTTCATCTGCCTCTACATCAATATCACTATTGAGCCGGCAATCGTAGTAACAATAGGGGAACTTGTTGTTGAAACCCACACCGGTGCCTGGAAGAGTCACCCGTTTGACCTCGTTGGTCTCCAGGTCGTACCGGCAAACGTCTGCAGAGCGGTAGCAGTTATAGTACAGAGCCTTACCGTACAGCACAGCACTGGGACCCTCAATGGCATTGGGATGGCTGTACGATGAGGCAAATGTAAAGTCTTTGTGGTTTGTTGAGGCCATGAAATCTTCATAATTTTGGTAAACACGTAGAGTGGTGCCCCAGATGTGGCTAGTTTCCAGAGGCTGAATCCAGTAGCTGTATTTCTGGTCCTCGTTCTCCATCTGGGCCTGTTTGCCCCATGAACCAGAGATGTAGCTCTTACCAAAAGGACTGAGCTTGGTTGTTACAGGGTCACTGATGCTGGTGATCAAGCCCTTAAGGCAGTTTCTGTCCTGGCCTGGAAACAGAGAAATCAGAAGGAATGCCAAGTGATGACATCAGAAATTTAAAAAAAGAAACATCCTCTATATAGACTGAATTATTTACTGGAAAACCAAATGCTTGGATGTCAATACATTTTTAGTATGTGTAAAACAGATAAAGAGGTGAATCACTCTATTAGGATTTTTTATTTCCACACAGTGTCAGATTGTTATCAAAAGGCTGGGTACATGCTTTGGAAACTTTTTTCTTCTCCCTCTACACAAGCATTGCAATGTATTTGCAAAAAACACTGGAAAAACTGTCAGACTGAAAAACATATTTTTAATATCATCAGTTTTAAACCTGCATTCTCTTTAATGACCAGCAGGGGGTGTCTTCTGGTTGCAAAATGACTTGTAGGAACTCTGTGGTTGACAAGCTGGTGATGAGTGTGTGGTTTCATTCAACATTTAAACACAATATACAAAACAGTTAAGTTTGTATTCAATATGATTCAAAATTGGTGACTGAGCCCATAAACAGTAAAGTGTTAACAGAGGTTAAATAAGTTAAATAAAGTAGAACACCTTTTGGAGCCACAGCCTCACGATCTGGTGGCCTTCAGATAGAATCCAGGTTTTTCTGATATTTATATATACTGCTGTATTTGAGCAGTCACAGTGCTTTCTTATTACAAACCTCATTCAGCCATTCACACACATTCAACAAGTGATTTTTTTCTGTCCTTTATTAGAGACGATAGCTAACCACAGTATGCTTACAGTTGGTGTACGCACACACATACCTCTGAAGTCTTTGGGGATTGATTTGCAGGACTCCACATTATTCTTTAGGTAGCGCAGTTTCTCCTTTACAGCCTTCATGTTAACTAAGTCAGCTGTTTCTAACCTGTCCACATGTGTCCGCAGTTTAACCACCTGCCACACGGTCAGAAGGTTAATTCATGGGAACACCCATTACATTTCATTTTTAAACAGACTTACTTATTTTCATTTTATCATGACTAATCGAATGTAATACATTTTTTCTCATTCTTCATATTTTTTCTTGTTCTAGCTTGTGACTGATATATTGTAGCATATTTCTTGTATTACAGATTTGTTTTTGTTTTTTTAATGCATTGTGTTGCCACTTGCAGTTTCACAATACCTCTTTGGAGAGCTTCTTTGTCTGTGCATTGTTCAGCTGGCTGTGGACAACACCAACATCTGTCTCTAGCTGGCTGAGCTGCTGGCCCAGAAGGCGCAGAGACAGAGCAGAGTACAGGCCCTGGTTGTGCAGGTACTTGTAAGGCCCCAGCCTGGCTGTCAAGGAGGTAACCTGAGCCTGGATCTGAGGGAGACGCTGGCTGGATATCTTCAGCTGCAAGGAACAAAGAAGCATAAAAAAAACTTCTGTGTCACATCTTGATAACTGAATGACCAGAAAGACCGTGTGAGAGGCTTAACTCAAGCAATTTTGTGCGATCTCATAACTAGTGAAATAAAAATACAATTTGTTTTCACAACCTGCCTGGAAGCTTTGGTTGACTTGTTTATTGAGATTACAGATGTGTACCTTGAAAAGTGTTTAAGAAGTGCTGTTTGTGTTTTATCTGTTCTGAACATGTGAAAAATATCTTCCTGAATAAATTATATTTAATTAGCTAAATTAGCTAGGGTAAAAAAAAATAGCATATTGTACAACTAAAAAACAAAAAAACTGTGAAGCACAACAATGATAAAACCATTTTCACAGTAATAGTTACTTCATGCAGCAAATTTCAGGGTTAAAACTGAGGCCAGTGCTTAAGTGCCTAACTGCAGTTCCTCTAATGACCACTTGAGGCTGACCATTAGAAAAAGATTGAACTAGCACGACTTGTTTGAAAGGGATGCCAGGAGAAAGCCTCTTCTCTCTAAAAATAACATGGCAGTGTGGCTTAGATTTACAAAGTTAAATCCAAATAATCTACAAGATTTCTGGAACATTTTCCATTTGACAGACCACAGTCCACAGCACCACAGTTAGAGAAAAACAAACACAGCATTGCGGTGTCAACCATGAACTTCTCTGTATAGCAGAGTAGTCTAAAGTCAGATGTGAGGACATTTGTCCAGCAGCTAAAGCTTGGCCCAAACTGGGGCATACAATGATCCTAAGCACAGCAGGAAACTATGCCTGGTTTGCTGCTTCGAGTTGCTGAAAGAGAAAAGAATCAATGTCTTGTAATCCACCAAAGTCCTGTCTTCAGCCTGATTGAAATGTTGTGGTGGGACCTCAAGAGATCTGTGCAGAAATAAATGTCTGAACTGAAGTAACGTTGTAGACAGAGTGGGACAAAATTCCTCCGCAATGAAGCTGATAAAGTCAAGGCATGTGCTTAGTTTTTGCGTTTTGACTTTGTTTTTGTTAAATAAATAATAAAATGATGTAATGTGACATGTTGCAGTTCATTTGATTTTTGTCTTAAAATAATTGGTTGAGGACCAGATTTCTTTTTTATTATGACAGAGGTTGTACTTTTTTTTTTGAGACATGAGTCTCAGCAGTACACTCATACATTTTCTTGCTAATACAGCTTACTAGCATAAGCTATTAACATTCACAACTGTCATCCAAACAGAGTCACTTGTGGTTCCAAAAAGTTAACATACCTGTGGCCAAAACGCTAACACTCAGGCTTCTTCCAAAGCCTGTCGAAGGCATCACGCTACTCACTTCCAACTTTTATGTACATTATTCCCTTAACTCCCCGCAATTCCTTGTCAATCAATCCTCCATGCACCACAGATACCGCAAAATGACACCTCTACACACACATACATGTATATATATACTTAGACATTCTATGCTATCCAGAAATACTCCCCTGCTCCTTCACACTCTCTTTCCACACTTTGATGCATTTACCTCCTCCTCTGTCCTGCCTTCCAGTGTCATATGTTTTTTATTACACTTTATTATTTTAATAAATAATAGAGGAAAGAATAAAGACAAAATATATATTATAAAGAATGCATCACTGATGTATATGGAAACTCTTGACATTGAACAGAATGGGGTCATTTTATTTATATTTTTGTTAGTCAGGGTGGAATAGATTGACATTTTCAGTCTGACATTCAAGAAATGTACCGACAACAATAATCTGAAATGGAAGTAGAAATGATGACACTAAAATAAACGAATTCCTACCTGTTCCGCCAGGCTGTTCATAGATCCTTCACAGGTATGAACCTGCTGTAACACAGTCTCATACTTCACAACAGGGAAAGACCACACGGTGGAGTTTACCTCACACACACATGAGTCGTCCTTCTTCAGGCCGAGCACCCGCTGAGCCTGGCCATCACTCTGCAGTCACACACAGTAACACTGATGTAATATACAATAGATATTCATAAAATAGTATACATTCCAACTTTATGTTCTGTTTTCAAGTGTAGGATGTCAGGTACAACTCACTGTGACCGTGAACAGCAGCAGAATCAGCAGCACCATGTTTACAGTTGGAGGAATGAAGCCAGAACTGATACCAGCAACTTTCTGCTTCTCTTTTCGCTAAAACACCAGATCTGAATGGACACACCTACCAAGTTTGGTTTTCGTCACTACTTCAGAGCCTTCAAAACATCTGCACAGATGTGAAACTCTAAAGAGGCCAAACTCTAGAATTTCACAACAGCTATCGTCAACTCAGGAGTTTTACACTTCCTCACTTCTTTTATGCAATATCTTTTTTTTTTTATTTTGCAATATCCTCTGCTTATACCTCTGTTTACAAACTCATTTATGAAACTTCTCACGCAGTTCTCAATAACGCCAGAAAAAACTCAACACCTGGGCAAACAAACCCAAACATGTTTTATACTTTAGATTAGGTTGTTATTTGAACCTTCTGAGGTCTACTTGATGATTGGTGGTGACCCCTAACCCTAAGCATATGTTTTCCAGCAGCGACAGAGTGAAAATGCAAATATTTTTTGTTGCATGTAGGAAAAAAAAAAAAAAAATTGTCAAGATTTGGGAGAACAATTTTGATAAAGAACAAAATTCATGTCTTCTGACTACATAGATTTTGGTCATCAGTAATGATGACGTCAGGGGTGACAGCGTGGCAGGTGAGCTTGTCAAAGCTAGGAGGTAGAATTTCTTGTTTTCTTAGTGTATCGTGTTAAATTAGTGTTGATATGTAGCAAACTGTGATCTATATTACAGCAAGAGCTCTTCGACCAAACTAAAAGAAAATCCAGCATTACTTTAAGACATGAACATCATAAATTAGGCTCATCTCATCTGGGACCCAACTGTTGACTCTATCCATCATTAAATTTCCAGTTAAAGATGTGCAAAATACTCCAAATACTGTAAGCATGGGAAACTAACTGTAACACTAAGTGTAGGGGTACCACAGTTAGAGAAGTTAAGCATCTATTTGTATTTAACAATGAACACTTTTGAGTGAAACTGGATGGCTGGACAAAGCAGTTAAGGTCAGTTCAAAGCAAAGACCAGAGCAGAGCAGATGGTGACGGTCCTGGAGCAAATGGTACATTCTCTAACATCCAGGATGACGTGAAGATGGAAACCAGGTAGCAACAATGACCACCTGAAAGCCAGAATAACAGAGGAGCAGTAGATTTTAAAAAATGGGGAACAGACACTGATTGGAGTGGGGAAGTTGTGGTAATGAACAAAGTAGTAGGAAAAGTCCATACATCCATGAATGCAGATGTGAGAGCAAAGATTTCCAAGGCATCATGCCATCAAATGTCAAATGTTGCCAGCACAATAAAAGGCAAGTCTAGTTTTGGGTCTGTGACCCAGTGTTTTGTGTTGTTTATTATTAATAGTCTTTGCTTTTGTTATATTTAGAATTGCTAGTCTTTGGTTTCAGTGTTATTTAGAGGTCTTAGTCTTTTGGTTACTGTCTCTGTCTCAATGTCTAGTCTACGTCTTTGTGATTGTCTCGTGCTTCCTGTTTTACTTTGATAGTCCCTGTCTTATAGCTGTATATTCAGCTTTGTCTCTTCCCTGTCTTGTAATGTCTGAATAGCCCCAGTTGTTTTTCCTTCATGTTTCCCATTCCCTCGTCATCCCTCTGTAGATAGCCCTGTGTCTTTTTCTGCTTGTTGCTGGTTCGTCTACGTGTTCTCATGCCTTTCTCCCGTGTATCACCTGCTGAGTTCTTCATGTTCCCCGGTCCCATGTCTCTCATCGTTGGTCTGCACGTTTCCCCATTTTAAGGTTTTTATGTTTCATTTCTAGGTTTCTAGTTCGAGGCTTTTTGTAGGTGCTTTCAGTTTAGGTTTTTGTGTTAGTCTAGTCGCTGCCAGCTGCCGTTTGTATTTCGCTTGGCCACTGTAAATAAAGCTCACTCTCAGTAAAGTCAGTGCCTGCACTTTGGGCCTTCTCGCATCTCTCCACACGTCTAACACCGTGGCCGTGACAAGTTTCCTTTGCAAGAGTTACCTGTCTGAGAAATTATAATTTAAAGCACCCATATCATGTCACTGGAGCCCATATGACTGTTTCTCTGACTGTGCAATCAGCAGTCATAGCTGTCTGAAGAAGACTGTGAATGTGGTCTTCATGGTGAAAAATCCATGACTCTGCAATGTTGTGTTTGCCCAAACAGCAGAGCAGTGGAGTACTGCAACAGATCATCAACCATTACAATCAGTGACCTAAACACAGCTGAGATGGTTTGGGATGAGCTAGAGCAGCGGTTCCCAAACTGTTTTTGCTAGGCCCCCTTTTGTTTTACAAGACAAATCGTCACGGTGTGATTATTTTACATTTAGTTGTTTTTTTCCTGTGTAATAATATTCAGCATTGCTATCAATACATTTTTCAAAAATACCTCTCTGGGCAAAATGGGTTCAAAATATAAACGACTGTGGGATACTGTTTGTCCGTGATTTAAACCGAGGGAACAAATCGTGACAGGACTCGTGACTCTCGTCAGTAATTAAGATTTAAGCCCAGGGAAAGGTGAGCTCTGGGCCAGAGTGCCATTAGTGTGCTTACAGCTAGTGAGCTGAGTGTTTGCGGTGTTTGCAGCTAGTAAGCTGTGTTTTTGTGGTTTACAACTAGTGAGCTGCGTGTCTGTGTTTGCAGCTAGAGAGCTACACTCTTTTTGACTTACTTTGTACTTTATTGACTAACACTTGAGTTTTGTTTGTTTCTTTAAACGGTGATAGCGGCTTGTCCGTCTCTTTTAGTTAGTATTAATAGAAACTTCAATAAAACTCTTTGATTTAACCATTTTGCCTCTGTCTCCTTTTCCTGACCCGGACACCTTTTGTTACTCCCCCCCCTCATCGCCTGGACCCTTTTAGGGGAACGTAACAAGTGGGGGCTCATCCGGGATTGTTGAAAAGGGAGTTTCGAGTTTGAATTGGTTTTTGATCATCTTGCTTTTTTTCACCTTTAGAGATTCAACTTCCCCAACTACCAAGTTAAGTTAGGTGAGTGTCCAGCTGAGCTTATTAAGTTCTTCCTTCTGGCACTCTTTTGTTGTTTTGCCTTTCTTATTTTCAGAGTAATCCTGGGTGGGGATAAGTTCCCTGTTGGGGGTAGGCAATTCAGGGCTCCGGTCGCTGAAGCTTTGCCTTTCAAGTTGCCTCGAGCCCAGCACGCTCCAGAAGATAGGTAGGTATAGTTTGGTGTGCTTAGGAACTGGGTAAGTTGTATTTGTTAACGTGTGTGCAGAAAGAGGTAAATTGGTCAGTTAAAGTAAGTTATGTAGTTCTCCATTAATTGGTTAATTGTTCGGTAGTTTCTGAGTGAGTTGGCAGAGAGGTGTGGTGGTGTCCTAATTAGGGTTTGTTTGCTAAGCCTTCTCCGCCCCCTAAATGGATGATACAGCTATTAGTGCACAGGTGTTTAGAAGCTCGTTTGTAAGTAATAACATCCACCTGGTTCCCGTTTTCTGTGAATCCAGTGTTGAGAGCTTCTTCAGGGAAGCTCACGAGACCTCTCGTTGAGAATCAGGGAGGAGAGCGGGATGGATGGCAGCGGCGTCTGCTGGCAAAACTGGTTGGCGCGATGCCGAAAATTCAAACCTGGTTGGCAGTCCACCCGTGGCGGCGGTTGAGCACGACTGTTCCGTGAGCGCCAGGTGAGCAGAGGAGGGAAAAGCATAAAAGAGGTGGGAGCGGTAGTGGTAGGGATGATTCTTTAGAAGCTAGAGAGAGAACAAGAATGTTTGTTGTTCTGAGATTCAATGAAAGAACACAAGTACATGTTAAAAAACTGAGTCCGTTTGTGTTGACAGCTGAACTTAACAGTAAAGTGGGAGATATAGTTTCTGTTAAGGTACTCTCAGATGGAAATCTTCTTGTGCAATGTGTGAATGAAGAGCAGCTCAACAAGGCTTTGACCTTAAAACAATTGGGGAAGTTTAAAGTAGAAAATGCCGGGCAAGTGGGTGCACAGACGGGAGGTGGGTGCAAGGGGGTAATTTCTGGGGTGCCCATTAGTGTGAAAATGGATGATCTGAAAAGCAAAATCAAAGGAGGGAATGTGATTTCTGTGGTCAGATTGAAAGCAACAAAAGATGGACTTAAGGTGGATATGTTAGTATGCCTGGGTCGTTGACCCAGGGTTTTTGAGTTTATTATATTATTTATAATTTCTAGTCTTTGGGTTTTTGTTAGAGTCAGGTCTTATGGTTTGTCTCTGTGTAATCCTTAGTTGCTGTCTCCCCTGTCCGGTATATCCCCGTGTCCAGTCAGTGTCTGTGTCTGCCCTGGTCCCACGTCTCTGTTCCCTCTGTTGTAGTGCCTGCATGTGAGTCTGTGTCTTTGTTCAGTCTGTGCTATGTGTTTTCTGTTTTACTTTGAAGGTCTCTGTCTTATCTCAGTGGTGTGCAGTTTACGCTTCCTTGTCTCGTCAGTTCTGATTTGCCCCAGCTGTGTTTCCTCCTGTTGTCCATTCCCTGATTGCTCCCTCTATGTATTTAAGCCCTGTGTTTCAGTTTGTCATTGTCGTGATCCACCTTTATCTTGCTGTGTGTTTTGTCTGCGTAGGTGTATTTTGTATTCTTAGTTTTTGTTACCTTTTTGAGTTCAGCATTAAAGCCGTTTTGAGTTACTTTCTGTGTCCGGAGTCTGCACTTTGGGTTCTTCTCCTGCCTGCACACAGCCGTCACATAACAGGATAGTGAAAGTATCCTGGTACACTTTTGAAGAAGGAAACCTGCCAAGGAAAGTGTTTTTGGGTTTCATTAGTTATCCAGTTCGAGCCTATGTTCCCAGAACTCTGAGGTGCTTTAACTGTCAAAGGTTTGGACACCTAGCGAAAAACTGTAAGGAAAAGAGGAGATGTGCTCGGTGTGGTGGAGATCACGAATATGGGAATGTGGAGATGGAGTTCAACCCAAGTGTTGTAGTTTTGGTGGGAGTCACAGTGTTGCGTATGCTGGATGTGAGAGAATGAAACAAGAAACTCATATTCAAAAAGTGAGGGTGGAGAAGAAGATCTCCTATGCTGAAGCAGTGAGGGTGATGAGAGTGAGTGAAAAGGTCAACGTCAACCCAGGACGGGGTGCATCTCGGGATCAAGAAGT